AGGAGACTCACTTAAGCCCAGGAGTTGGAGGTTGCTGTGAGCTGTGATGCCATAGCACTCTACCCAGGGGGATAGCTTGAGGCTCCGTCTAAAAAAAAAAAAAATAGCCGAGCATTGTGGCGAGCGCCTGTGGTCCCAGCTACTTGGGAGGCTGAGGCAGGAGACTCACTTGAGCTCAGGAGTTGGAGGTTGCTGTGAGCTGTGATGCCACAGCACTCGACCCAGGGGAAAAGCTTGAGGCTGTATCTCAAAAAAACAAAAAAAAGAAAAGAAAAAGAACAATTTATGAAATGGGAGAAAATATGTACAAATCATATATCTAATAAGGGACTTGGTATAGATTATATCTTATACCTCAGCAATAAAAATACAACCCGGTTTAGAAGTGGGTGAAGGATTTGAGCAGACATTTCTCCAAAGAAGATGGGCTGGTGGCCAATAAGCACATGAAAGGCTCAGTACCCATAGCACAGTGGTTACAGTGTCAGCCACATGCACAGAGGGTTGCACGTTCGAACCCAGCCCAGGCCAGCTAAACAACAGTGACAACTCCAACCAAAAAATAGCCGGGCATTATGGTGGGCACCTGTAGTCCCAGCTAGTTGGAAGGCTGAGGCAAGAGAATCGCTTAAGCCCCAGAGTCTGAGGTTGCTGTGACCTGTGACACCATGGCACTCTACTGAGGATGACAGCTTGAAACTATCTGAAAAGAAAAAAAAAAAAGAGGGGGTACCTGTGGCTCAGTGAGTAGGGCACCAGCCCCATATACAGAGAGAGGTAGGTTTGAACCCGGCCCCAGCCAAACTGCAACAAAAACTAGCTGGGCATTGTAGCGGGCACTTATAGTCTCAGCTACTCGGGAGGCTGAGGCAAGAGAATCACATAAGCCCAAGAGTTGGAGGTTGCTATAAGCTGTGACACCATGGCACTCTACCAAGGGTGATAAAGTGAGACTCTGTCTCAAAAAAAAAAAAGAGGCTCGGCCCCTGTGGCTCAAGCAGCTAAGGCGCCAGCCATATACACCTGAGCTGACAGGTTCAAATCCAGCCCAGGCCCACCAAACTACAATGACAGCTACAACCAAAAAATAGCTGGGCATTGTGGCGGGTGCCTGTAGTCCCAGCTACTTGGGAGGCAGAGGCAGGAGAATCGCTTGAGTCCAGGAGTTGGAGGTTGCTGTGAGCTGTGACACCAGGGCACTACCCAGGGCGACAGCTTGAGGCTTTGTCTCAAAAATAATAATAATAATAATAGGGTGGCGCCTGTGGCTCAAATGGGTAGGGCACCAGCCCCATATGCCCAGAGGTGATGGGTTTAAATCCAGCCCCAGCCAAAAGTTGCAAAAAAGAAAAAAAAAAGGGGAAGAATGTGGACAAGTTAGAATCTACATTTATTATTGGTGACAATGTAAAATGATACAGCCACTTTAGAAAACAGTTTGACTTTTCAAAAAGTTAAACATAGAGTTATCATAATCACTTGCAGTTTCACTCCTGCATATATACCCAAGAAAAATGAAAACATATGTCCACACGGAAACTTGTACGTTGATGTTTTCAGCATTATTTGTAATAGCCAAAGAGTAGAAACAACTCAAGTGTCCATTAGCTGATAAAGTGATGGTATATCCACATAATGGAATATTATTCAGCAATAAAGGTACATGGTACAACATTAATGAACCTTAAGAACTATGCTAAATCACAAAAGCCAGAAACATAAGGCCACATACTGTATGATTATGATTTCATTTATCTGAAATGTTCAGAGTAGACAGTTCCATAAAAACAGAAAGTAATGGGCAGTGCCTATGGCTCAATGGGTAGGGTGCCAGCCCCATATACAGAGGGTGGCGGATTTAACCCGGTCCCTGCCAAACTGCAACAAAAAAAATATCCAGGCGTTGTGGTAGGTGCTTGTAGTCCCAGCTACTTGGGAGGCAGAGGCAAGAGAATTGCCTAAGCCTAGGAGTTGGAGGTTGCTGTGAGTTGTAATGCTATGGCACTCTACCCTGGGCAATAAAGTGAGACTCTGTCTCGAACTCAAAAAGAAAGTAAGTTTATAGTTGCTAAGGGCTAGGAGAATCTAAGTGACTGATGATGGTTACAGGCTTTCTTTTTGTGATGATGAAAATATTCTGAAATTAGACAGTGGTTATAGTTGTACAACTCCATGAGTCTATAAATACCACAAAATTAGACATTTTGGAATAATTATTTTATGTGAATGATTTCTCAAAAAAATTTTTTTGAGGTAGTCTCATTTTGTTACCCTTGGTAGAGTGCTATAGCAACCTAGCTCACAGCAACCTCAAACTCTTGGGTTCAAGCGATCCTCTTGCCTCAGCCTCTCAAGTAGTTGGTACTACAGGTGCCTGCCACAACACCCTGCTGTTTTAGATACTGGGTCACTCTTGCTCTGGCTGGTCTTAAGCTCCTAAGCTCAAGTGATCCTCCCACTTTGGCTTCCCACAGTGCTAGGATTATAGGCATGAGCCACTGTGCCTGGCCCAAAAATTCTTTTTTAAAATAAAGTTTTTTCCAAATATTTTGTCAGTGAATAGTAGTCTCTGGTAAGGATTTCTGGGCATAGAGATCCATTCCTTATTACAGTTAAATTATGACCCAGTTGTAGATTTCTTTTTTTTTTTTTTTGAGACAGAGCCTCAAGCTATCACCCTGGGTAGAGTGCTGTGGCATTACAGCTCACAGCAACCTCCAACTCCTGGGCTCAAGCGAGTCTCCTGCCTCCGCCTCCCAAGTAGCTGGGACCACAGGCGCCCGCCACAACGCCTGGCTATTTTTTGGTTGCAGCCATCATTGTTGATTGGCGGGTCCGGGCTGGGGATTCGAACCCGCCACCTTAGGTGTACGTGGCTGGCGCCTTAGCCGGTTGAGCTATAGGCGCCGAGCCCCAGTTGTAGATTTCTAATCTAACACATAAAAGTTAAGACTACTTCAGCTGGGCACAGTTGCTCATACCTGTAACCCAGCACTCTGAGAGGCTAAGGTGGGAGGATCCCTTGAGGCCATGAGGTAAAGACCAGCCTGAGCAAGAGCAAGATCATGGTCTCTAATAAAAATAGAAAAATTAGCCAGCCATTGTGGCAGTGCCTATAGTCTCAACTACTTGAGAAGCTGAGGCAGGAAGGTCACTTGAGCCAGGAGTCTGAGGTTGCTATGAGCTAAGCTGAAGCCAGGCTTTACCCAAGACAATAGAATAAGACTCTGTGTTAAAAAAAAAAAAAAGTTACACTATTTCTTTAAGGGTTTTTATTGCTTAACATTTTAGTGCACAGTATTGCTTTAATTGTTGCCTTTTTAAATTACTGTTACAGGAGAGAGTCAGAAAGGAGAAACCACTCATTAGCTCGTCATGCAGACATTCTTGCTGCTGTTGAAACAAGGCTGTCACTATTAAATATGACTTTCATGAAGTATGTGGATTCCAATCTTTGTTGCTTCATCCCAGGAAAGGTAAAATAGAATTATTTACCTAGAGCAGCTGGATTGCCCTTGTGAATATATTATGAAGTTATAAAGTGATTTTTGAAATATTAGAATTGTTCTCTGAATTGAGTTTTTATGAATGGGTTTGTTTAGCTTCTATACAATTATCAATATAGGTATATATCATAATATGTGATTTTTTTTTTTTTTTTTACTGCAGTCAGCTTTTTATTTATTTATTTATTTGCAGCCATACTGGTGAGTTATATTTGTTTTTTTGTTTTTTGAAACAGAGTCTCACATTATCACCCTCAATAGAGTGCTGGGTATCACAACTCACAACAACCTTGAACTGTTGGGCTTAAGCGATTCTCTTGCCTCAGTCTCCCAAATAGCTGGCACTATAGACGTCCATTACAACACTTGGCTATTTTTCTAGAGATGATGTCTGCTCTGGCTCAGGCTGGTTTTGAACTTCTGAGGTCAGGCAGTCCACTCACCTCGGCTACCCGGAATGCTAGGATTACAGGCATGAGCTACCCACCCTGCCAACAATCAACTTTTTAAGTGTAATCAAATGAGTTCAATGTAACTGTCATGTTAAAATACCTTGAATTCTTCAGATTTTCTAGTTCCAGTTTTAGCTTTAAAAATCTTAAATAAATGACCTACTCTTGAAGGTCTGTTTATTATCTTTAAAATTCTAGTAGTCCTTGGTTCAAGTAAATGTACCTTATGGGATACAGACTAATATTCACTATCCATCAAAGCCCCAATGTTGTCTGAGGGCTCACTGATTACTTTTTCTTAAAAAAAGCTCAGCTCTCTTTGGGATGCCTTTCACAACCACTCTCATGGTATGAAGCTTCTATCCTGATCTTACTGCATGTATGTGATCTTTATATTTAAAATTCTAAATAAAAAATGTACTGTAGAGGGCAGCGCCTGTGGCTCAAAAGAGTAAGGGCATCAGCCCCACATGCCGGAGGTGTTGGGTTCAAACCTAGCCCCAGCCAAAGACTGCAAAAAAAAAAAAAAAGAAAGAAATGTACTGTAGAATCACTACTGTTCTTTAGAGAAGTTTGTTAAGAATTAATACTTGGTTACGTACAGTGGCTCACACCTGTAATCCTAATACTCTGGAAGGCTAAGGCAGATGAATCACTTGAGCTCAGTAGTTCCAGACCAGGCGGAGCAAGAGTGAAGTCCATGTCTCTACTAAAAATATAAAAATTAGCTCAGCGCCTGTAGTTCAGTGGCTAGAGTGCCAGCCACATACACCGGGGCTGGCCTGCTAAACAACAACTACAACACAAAAATAGCCAGGCATTGTGGCAGCTGCATATAGTCCCACCTCCTTGGGAGGCTGAGGCAAGAGAATCCCTTATACCCAAGAGTTTGTGGTTGCTGTGAGCTGTGACGCCATGGCATTGTACCGAGGGCAACATAGTGAGTCTCTGTCTCTAAATATATACATAAGTAAATAAAAATACAAAAATTAGGCTCAGCGCCTGTGGCTCAAGTGGCTAAGGCGCCAGCCACGTACACCCAAGATGGCAGGTTCAAATCCAGCTCGGGCTCGCCAAACAACAACGATGGCTGCAACCAAAAAATAGC